ATGATTGCATAGTCAGTTAGTATGTTTTTCCCTTTGGTTCAGTCTGTAATAGACCAAAGTATATTAAAAACATTATAAAATTATCCACAAATGTTTTAAGTTTGCAGAAGAGGCAATTTTGAGTGTAACATATATGAATATTTGATCAAGTGTCTTGACAGATGAGCTGCAACATTGTTTATCCTCTAGCACCACCTTCAGTCCAAAACGTAAATTGCAATCTTGGTTACTGGCATCACTATGAGCTTCACTGTGTACTTGGTGCTAGTAAGAAAATGTTGCCATTGTACAGTTATACACTTTGCTTTTTGCTCACATCACCACTTTTTCTAAGACGTTAGCGTGGATGTTATAATTTTAATCTTAATCTGCGATTAAAATCTCCAAGAGACTGAAATGTCAATACCTTAGAGGTTTTGTGCTTTTATGCTACGGTACACTTGCAAAAAAGATTTTCATCTTATATTTTTCTCACTAAGGGTGTATGTGAGGAACTAACTTATGAGGAAATTCAGGAGAATTTCCCAGAAGAATTTGCACTGAGAGACCAGGACAAATATCGCTATCGGTACCCAAAGGGCGAGGTAAGCCCTGCTCTGAATGAGTTTTAGAAATATATTTTATGTAACCAAGAAAGCATAACTGTGATTTTAATAAACACACTGCTGACACCTGGAATCTTTCTAGTACAAATAATTTCCTCTGTTGGCCAGTGAGCAGCTTACCAGAAGCAGTTTGCACACTGAATTGATCATTCAGGGAGAGTATTTAGTTTGGAATGTAGAGCTAAAAAAGATTTAAATTATTTTGATATTTGTCTTTCAAAAATAAAGCTTTAGAGTGGCTTTGACAAAACTTTAGAGAGAAAACAAATTAACGAGTTGTGTGCTCCAAGCTTCCAAAATATTGCAAACACTGTCGGAGGTCACTTAGTCTTTAAAAATGTAAACATAATAAAGACTAAGTGTCTTTAAGCAGATTTTCTTCCTGCTCTTCCTTTTTTGTTCTAAATCAGCTCAGCATTGA